AGGGGGCCGTGGGCGCTGGGGTCACAGCCCTGGAGACTAAAACCCTCCAAACAGGGGCAGCGGCCAGGCGCCAGCGCGGGGAGTCCTGGCGAGAACGCGGTTCGTGCCGAGTTTCCCCCTCAGTCCCCTATAGGCCAGCAGGTCTCCCCACGCACAGCAGGGCTGGTGGGACCCTGGCCTCCCGTGCCCTGTCCTGCGAACGGACTCGCAAAAGGGGCAGAGAAACAGGGTGGGTCAGGCTGGGACCAGCTGCTCCCCAGAGGCAGCAACGTTCACCAGCCGGACAGCCTGGAGCTCGCAGGACAGCTCGAAGCTAGACCCCTCCTGGGCTACCCATCAGCCCAGCTGGTCCAGCGCTGGCAGCTGAGGGTGGATAGTCCAAACGAAGGGGAGAGACCCTGCCCCGACCCCAGGCCGACACACAGAAGGGGGTGGGGGGAAGGGCCCAAAGCCAAGCTCGCTTCCCCTGGGGCTCCCGGACATACCTGACACAGGACGTCCGTGGGCAGGTTAATTAGCCCGAGAACGTTGCGCTCGTACCATGGGTCCAGCATCCCAATGTAGTGGGAGATTTCGTTGGTGCTGCTTTGCCCCCCCGCTGAGCCAGGCTCCTGAAAGCAGACACAGACGCTCAGGAGATGCCTACACCGACCTGAAACTCCCGCGGCTGTGGCCATGGCAGCCAGGCCCGCTGACAGGGCCGGGGGGGAGGGGGTCAAGAGGGATGTTGTCCCTACTGCAGCAGTGGTGGCTGGAGCCCAGGCCCTTTAAATCGCCGCCAGAGTGCCGCACTGCGTGCTCCGAGTGGCTCTGAGGGCTGGGGGGGGGGGGTTCTGGGAGCACCAAGCTGCCCCCCTTCTTGCCTGGGGCCCGCAGAAGCGGTCAGCTCCCTGACATCCGCTGAAGGTCCACTTGGCCGTTCAGCGCCTCTGAGGGGACCTGGCTGCTGGTGAGCTGCAGGCAGGACCCCGCACCGGGAGCTGGTCCCCGGCAGGCCCAGCACGTACCCGTTGCCCTGAGGCTCTGAGGTGAGGGTCTCTCGGAGAAGGAGGCGGCTGTGTCAGTGATGCAGATGAGGTAAGGCAGCTCCTCTTCACTGGGATGTAGAAAAACTGGAGCTTGAAGTACCTTGTCAGTAATGGGCAATTGATTTCTTGTAGCCTGGCACAGGGGAGGGAAGGAGAGCGCTGTGTCACCACGCACGAGGCAGGGCTGCAGCCAGGCCGCGAGGACACGGGCCTGGTCCCAGCCCCCCCCAGTCACGCATACGGTGAGGGAAACAGACAGCGCAGGCGCGGTCCCCACTGTCCACTGAGCTCACGAGCGCTCCGGGGCAGGGACCAGCCTTCGGTGACACGTTCACACGGCGCGAGGCACTGCCCTGCAGTGACGCCCACCGTGAGGGGTCAGCGCTCGGCGTGGTGGAAGGAACGTACCCGGCCGCAGACCTGCAGGCTAACCAAGCGGGACCCCGCGACTGCCTCACAGTGCGGGCCGCGCCTGAGCGTGGCCACTGGCTCTGGGACCCACCTCTCCTGGAGAGCAGGCCCCCGAGGCCTACGGCGGTGTGGTGGGGGCTGGGTAAGGACGTACGAGGGACGGGAGGCAGGTTCCTCCCACACTGTCCCACTCACCTCAGGTTCCGGTAGGCCCGGGCCACTTTCCCCGAGATGCGGTCGGACCCGAAGACCACCACACGCAGCGTGGAGACCGGGGTATCTTCATCGCAGCTCAGGAAGGGCCTGCGCTGGACACGCACGTTCTGCATGGGGTGGGGCTGCGGGAGCCGCTGGCTCAGCACGTGCTGGGGCAGGGAGAGAGCCCTCCGGGACCGCGCCGGGATGGGTTGCGTGGCCTGTGGGTTGCACAGGCTCTCGGCCCGCCGCAGAGGCAGGGAGAGAGAGCCAGTGTCGGGATATTCCGGGAATTCCCTCCGCAGCATCAGCTGGCTTTTGCTCTTGAAGAGCTTGCAGATTTTGCTGGCCAGCCTCTGACTCTGTCTGTGAAGAGTCTTCTCCTCCTTCAGGTCCTGCCGCCCCACCTGCTCTAGACAGCTCTCGTCACTGTCTTCAGCATAGCCGCTGTCCATGCAATCTTTGAGGCTGGAGACAAAGGTCGTCAGGGACCTCCTGGAGACCACAGACAGCTCCGAGATGGAGTCCCTGGAAGCGGTGGATAGGAGCGAGATCCGCGAATGCTTCGCCGCCTCCTCTGACAATGCTGAATACATGGAGTCCTTGGAAACGGCCGAGATGGAGGAAAGGAGGGAGTCCCTCTGGGGAGAACAGCCATCGATTTCCGTCTCGTCTTCTTCCTCCACTTCCACCTCCACTTCTACCTCTACCTCCACCTCCACGGGCATTGGCTGGAGAACACTGCGCTCCTGGTCCAGGACATCTCTGAGGATATCTGAAAGAGTCAGAGCCAATACAGGATCCTAAGCACCACCACATGGGAGACGGGAGGGGCACAACGGGCCCCCCAGCCCATCCACCCTAGGCCCAATGAAGGAGAATCCTCTGTCCAAGGTGCGTTCTCCTGCACCTGGTGCAGCCTCACGTGAGCTGTGGTGGAACTTCCAACCCCCCGTTGTGATTCCACACGCCAATCCCAGGTGCACTTGTGCCCAGAAGTCATCTTGTTAGAGGCTACCAATGGGGTTTGACCAAAATAGTTGTGAATGAAAAATAATAAGTTTTGTCAAAATCTAAACTCACTTTCCTGAAAACTGTTCCATACCAATGAAATTTGTTCTGCAAAAAAAAGTCTGAAACAGAAACCGGTTTCCTTTTCGAACGGAAGTTCGTGTGTCGTTTGGGTTTTCAAAAGCCCAGATAAACTGACATTGGCTTCGCTTCCTGTCCAATCGGGTTGTCAGCTAGTTCTGCTACTTACGGTCACCATTAAAAAGTGCTTGACTCAAGCCCGCCAGCCAGGGAGGAACGCCAGCTGATGGAAGCTAGCTCCCTGACAAAAATACACTTGCTGAAAAGAACGAAACAGACACGCCCCGGGGAGGCTGCGGGGGCCAGCAGTTTTCCAAAGCGACAGACTCGATGGAGCACCGAGTGTCGAATCTGCACAGACACCCGGCGATTTGCCCCCAGCAGGGCCTGGGAGTAACCATGCACGATTGCCACAGGGCGGGAGGGTGGAAATGACCAGGCACAAAAAACACACAATCACCTGGCCTTGCCCGGAGGACTATGGAACCCCCTAGTGTTTCGTTGCTCAAGAGGCACACGCACTGGAGCTTGGGGTGAAATTCCCAGCGCGAGGAGATGGGCCGCATTAGCGTCCATCGAGACAGCGCGCTCAAAACAGAGCACCCCGCTGAAGTGCCAGGGGCCAGCCACCTGAGTACGCACCCATCCACGGCCACAGGCACGGACTGCAGGGGGCTACCCCCCCACTGCTTCTGCTGCTGCAGCTCCACGCCTGTTTTCAGCACAACTTGCCCCTCCAGAACCAAGGCAGCCTTCTGCAACGGGAGCGCCACTAGGC